ACTGTTCAGGAAGTATTCGAATAGCAAGTTAGAAAAGATTGCCAAAATAGAAAAGCCATCAGTGTGTGATGAAGTACTACTGTGAGAGTACCTGGTGGGACAGCCCAGCCAGCCGGGCTTGGTGCACCTGAGGAAGCCTGTGAGCAGAACAGGTCCATGCTGAGGCCTGGAGACGGCAGGAGTTAGCCAGGCGGGCAGCAAAGGCCGAGGAAAGGCCGGCTTTGGGAGCCTGACTCCTCCCGCGCAGCCGGGCAGCGGTGCTGGAGTAGGCTGGGTGTGGCTGTTGCCAGGCCTTCCAGCCAGGCCCAAGCTGTTGGCTTTGTCAGGAGGAGCTGGAGAGCTGAGCCTAAGACTAAGGGGGACGTGTGCCCTATCCCGCGGTGGTTGCGGCGGGGGGGCGGGCTGGGGGGGGGGGGCGGCAGAGGCCTTGGGAGCTGACCCAGGGGAAGAGAATGGATGCTGGAAACGACGTGCACGTGAAGGGAGAGAGCGTTTTCGGGTGCTGACGAGCTAGAACCGACAGGTCTGGGACTGCTTTGCTTTGCAGGGGAGGAAGAGGGTGCGCGTGTTTCTGTCGTGGCGTCTGGGCTGGGTTGCCCGGCCTCTCCTGAGAGGTTTTCTAAATGGAGCTTGGGGAAAGGTGTGCGGGAGGGGCAGCTGAGATCCTGTCCGGGTGCAGGGGGAGAAGAGAGGGCAGGCGGGGAGCAGCCCTGAGCCCGGAAACCGAGTCCAGTGTGGCGCTGAAGCCCGGCGGGAGGAATGTGCGGAATGCTGCCGGGCGTGGACGGGAGATTGGAGTATCCCCTGGCCTTCCTGAGCCTGGGCAGTTCCGCTGGAGAGCTGCGCCCAGGGGCCTCGGTGCTGGTGTGTGGCCGAGTAATCGAGGAAGGAGGTGAGCAGAGACTCCCAGAAGTTTGGCTGTGAAGGCAGCAAAAGAAAGATGGAGCAGACTATAGAATCGGGGGATATTTTTTGTTTAAGTTCGGAGTATTCTAACATGTCTAGAAGGCCCAAGGGGTAGAGGAAGGTGGTGGTTGGTAGTGGAACACACCTGCGCGAGCAGGTGGCGTGGTACTGAGTCCCTGCGGGGAGCACCCTCAGGCCGGAGCCCGTGGCTCCCGTCCTGATAGGAGGAAAGAGCGCTGACATTCAGCCGGTTAGCACTGGTACGGCTCAACCAAGTCGTTAAAACACTCCTGTACCAGTTAGTAAGTAGTATAAGAGTAACTGCAGTAAGCAGTAAAATAATTGGTAAAATAAATTCTGATATGAACTCTCGGTTCGAGCTAATGAAGAGACCGCAGCAGCCCTTGGCGAACCGGCTTCCCGCGGCACCTGGGAAGCTCTGCAGCGCCATCTGCCGGTGTGGCAGCACCACTGCAGGCTGGGAGGCTGCTTTGCGCCTTTATGAAAACACTTTTAAAATTGCCTGTTTAAATTATCTTCGAATTATGGAGTCGCTACTGCTTCTCAATAGTTAGCTTCTACTTTGATTTTATTGTTAGTGCGTTGTTATTCCTGTGTCAGTAGCAAGTTTCAGTGTTTTAATATTTACAAATTCAAGGATTTTTAATAAAATATTAAAGTCAAACTTGAATGAAGACAACAGAGTTTGAATATGTTTCTTTTTGTTTAAAATAATTATTTAATATTATTTATTATTATTATTTTTTAATTTTCCATAGGGCACGTGTGCTCACCAGAGAGACAGAGAAACAGAGAGACAGAGAGAGAGAGTAAAAGCAACTCCTCAATGGGGTGTGGTTACACTCCAATCCCTTCTCCTCCATTTCGCTACCCAATCAGGATTTCTGGCACACACGCACATACACCCAGTATAGCTTTCAAGCTGCCAGGGTAGGAATACAAATGGTAGTTGGTCATGTGGGTCCAGCACCCTTAGCCACTAGGCAATGAAGCTGGCCTGGAGAAGACTCTAAAATTCACTTTCAGTGCTAAAATTCTAGACTTCTAATTAGCACATTAATTTGGAGGGAAACTATTGTCGATTTTTTTTTTTAGAGGTTTTTGCAATAGGGCACATGCACTCGCCAGACAGAGAGAGAGAGAGAGAGAGAGAGAGAGAGAGAGAGAGAGAGAGA